CAAAACGTGTGAAGCTGTCAACCATCATTTTTGATCAATAATTACATTTGAGAATATAACAAAATCAATAAGCACTGTAACGTAACAGAGCAACGTCGCTTTCTGCAAGGTTTAGTTCATCTTGTCGGCTTTTTGTTCCATCAAGAAAATATTAAAGCTTAGAGGAAAGTATGTTGTAGCAAATGTTTGACCTAAATCTCCAAATCCCCCGTATGGATTTTCTGGCTCTACGAACTGACAAGATATCAGTGAGCCATAAACCCAAAATCCAAACTTCAATAATAATGTCTGAGACTCTACATCCAAGTTTTACAGCAGACAAAAAGCAGAAAGAAGAAGAAAAAAAAAAAAACCCTGATGGAGTCCTGGAAACTTTTGTGTCTGGTTGCAGTCAGACGGCGTGGCACGGCGGTGCAGCACATCTGTGGAACAGCTGTAGGGAGCTCGGCTGCAATTAATGCAGAAGAAAAGAACTGGTCATGTATGAATCCATGCATATGGATGAAAGTGTGTCCTACCCCCCCTAATTCCGGTGGGAAACCATATGGTTTGGGAGTTCATTGGGAGTGGGAACGGGAAGAGGTAAAGCTGGAACCTCTGCAGTTTTAATGGGACATTAACTGGAGAAGCCGAATCCAGACCGTCATCGGTGAACCTTCGCTGACCCCGTGTCGCCTCGCGCCAAAGAGAAATAGCTGGCCGTAAAACTACCGCCCACGCAGGCGTGACGGCCGGCCTGCAGGTTCAGATTAACACGCCTCGTGTAAATTGGGCCTGAGCACGGCTAGGTGGAAGAACTGGATCCACATTTCATCCACCTACACACTTACTACACACCATCGATATTTCCACTATTTGTCAGGTTACAACCACGTGTTGAGGAGCGTGGCTATATGCCACTGTAAACAGAGATACACGACATATCGGCAATAACATCGGGTGGCTATGTGAACCAATGGGGCTAAATACAAATCCAAAAAATTTAACATAACATATAAATTCCTCTACCTTTATATTGGTGTGTCACAAATTTGATTATGGGTGTGATTTGTGACAAAGGGACGATTTCCACATGGCTGTAGTTACGTACAAAATCTTGGGACATGTTGATCCAATACTGGAAAATGAATGATAAGATCAAAATCAAGACAAGACGTACTAACATAATTAACACTAAGAGGATCAACTTTTGGTAGGGATTTTACGTGTGTACGTTTTTAGCTAATCCTTAGCTTCTCGTGCTATCGCTGCTTATTCGCCTACTGAGGGCCATCGCAGTGAAGAGTTTAACCTTCGAGTTGCGTCTGCATGGGGAGCTGCTTCTGCTTCGCTTCCACATGTGGATCACTTGAGTATTTAGGCAAAAATGTAACCTCTTTGTTTCCAAAAAAAACGGCAACATCCAATCCCCGGTTTCCCTATTTCGAAGTGCCGAGGGGCCGCCTCAGGTGCAAATCGCTGATATTTCCAACTCTGCAAGGTTCAAATGTTGGAGCAGAGGGAAAACTGGCTCATCATTCTAAAGTACATACAGCTATTATCCTGGCACATTAAGAGGAAATGTTCTATTTATGTGTAAATGACTGTAATGTTAATAGGCTCTGATGTGCGTTCAAAGAGAGAAAACAATCAAGTGAAAATAACACCCACAGTTACGAGTCGATACGGCTGTATTCATTAGAGCTACACTGCGAGTGAGGCTCTTCTTTAAGTGTGGGGGAAATTTTCACTTTTTTTTTTGCCTTGTTTGTTCTTCTCAAAATGCAGTTGTGCGCATTTAAATGAAGCTACAACTCATACATCCTCCTGATAAAACATGTCCGACACGACTTATGCATGCAGAAGGTCAGAGTGGAAGTGAAAGCACAATATGCGTCAACTTGAGTGAAAAAGTTGCAAAAAGCAGTTTTTATGCCTATATAAAAAAAAGCTTTGCAGCTTTCAGAGTATTTGCACCAGATGAACTCTGAAAGTTCCCAAGCATCTGCAGTCTGCACCTACTGCTAAGATCTCTGCTGTAATGACTTGGCGGAGACCGCACTCCAGTCTTATAAAACAATCAAGTAGGATGGTGAGTAAAGCCGAGCGGCGCAGGCCAAATGGCTCTCAAAACCAATGAAACCAAGCGAATAATTCATGGAACCGACCAAGCACTGAGGAGGCTGCTGTTATAGATGACAGCAAAGCAACGCAGCATAAGCAAACACGAGACTGCACATCATTCCTGAAATGTAAGCCATCAGTTTAAGCTGGTCTTTATGTCTCATTTGGAGGCTTTGGCAAGTTCTGAAGGGAAATTTATCAGGGTCTGGAGTAATACAAACATCTCTAATTATGAATCCAGATAAACTTCTTTATAGTTGGACAGCTTCCTGCGCGAGGGGGGAAAAAAGGTGTTAACACGATACGTCAGTCATTTCGGGGAAACCTGGCCACGCTTTCACCGAGGAAGGAGAAATATAAGAACCACCTGCTCCTCCGGGGGGAGTGGAAGAGGGGAGAGAACGAACTAACATTTTGAATCCAAGTCAAACTCCTTTGCTGGTTTTCGTGCTTGGAAATATCTCTTGACATCCTGAGACGGGGATTACGCTAAACAGGTGAGCAAATCACCGAGTCTTAATGTTGTTGGTGGTCCTAATGAGGTAAAGGCGGCGGGGGCTTTACGGCTTCGTTCACGCGAGTCCTGCAACAAATCATCGCCGTCTTCCAGCGTTTTTCGCGAGGATTTTGTTTGGACCTTAGGGAAAACGTGAGCTGGTGCTGCGGAAGCATTTGGAGCTGTAAGAAACGTGAACCAAGCAGTTTCGACAACTCCGTCCGAAACTGGTTTGCTGACATTTGCAGCTGTACATGCCTGAAGGGCGGGCGTGTTTTTTTGGCACTTTCCACATCCACACGGTAAAGGCTGAGCTTCTGTACAAGATTTACATTGAGATCTTATTTTTAAATACTTGGGTTACTATTTGAAATAGAAATCAAGGTTTTTCTGGCCTGAACTATCTGAGTATAACTTTCATATTGAAATATAAAAGTCTATTTCTGCTGCCAATCACTGATCCAAGCCAATCAAGAAAATATTGGCCAACTCCAGTCTCTGGCTGATTGAATGGTGAATTTCCAGTTTACTGCATAATAATGAAGGTCTTGAAAATTGTGATACTACAAACTGTGGGTCGGTAAAAAGGTTGAGAACCAGAAAAAAGCAAAGACTCCAAGGTAAAATCTGCTTTTTTATATTTGAGTTACGTTTCATCTAACTTTTAAAATGGACTGTAAAAATGGGATTCTTTCAGCAGCCCAAACTTTATTATTGTCTGGAGATTTTTTTGGGGTGTTTTTTTTTTTTTTTTGTCTAATTTCTAGTGCAAATATCTTAGTACACTTGAAATAAGACGCAACTAACTTACAAATAACTTCTCAGCAAGACAGGAGCTCATTTCTAAGACAATAATTGCTTATTATTGATGAGAAAGTTACAGTTCCACTGACAGATTATTTCACTTGTAACATGGAGAAAATGTTTTCTTATAAGTGAAATAATCTGCCAGAGGAACTAGCACTTTTTCATCAATATTAAGGAGTTATTGACTTAAAACAAGCTCCTACGTCTTGCTGAAAGGTGATTTGTAAGTTAGTTTTGCCTCCAAGGTATTTGCACTAGAAACTAGACCAAAAATACTTGGTAAGATTTTGTGTTTTTATTCTACTGTGCTACTTTAAAATTATTTCCTTGTTTAGGTGATGTCTCCAAGCCCTGAGAATATCACACTGGTACAAATTCACGCTTGAAATTGGCCAGATAGGTATTACGTTTTAGAGTGATCCGACCAGAATTGGCCCACAAAGCTGTGATCGGTTCATTTTAATTTTACTGATTTTTTTTTTTTTTAAGACCGTCTTCTTGACTTATTAAACTCAAAATCGCCTGACGATGGCTGAACATTGTCTCTGACTCGAGCCGAATAAATCCCATGATCCTCATCACTTTATCAGATTGGGCTCCTGCCCTCGGAGGTACTATAGGCGGCGAACATCATGTGAAAGAGACAGGGGAGAGACTTTAGGCTATAATGAAAGAAATAATAAACACAATCTGGGCTTTGAGTCTACCAGCTCCGTCTCACAGCCAGATTTATCTCATTCGGAGAGTTTAAATGAAAACCTCGGTGTCAGGAGAGCAAACACACAAAGAGGGTTTTCCAGGCCTCCGTTCCACAAGCCTCCTATTTAACCAGTGAATGGCATCTATGTATATCTGCTAGACAAATTCACTCTCACATAAAGTAAAGTCACAACTTCTCCACTCGGTGAGACTCACACAAGACAACTTTGTGCTGCTCTTAAGGTCAGAATGTGTTTCAAAGCCTTGTCTTCACCGGCTTCCACCAAGGATAAATGTTTTTTTTTCTCACTCACTGGGGGCGAAAGCACAGCACTGTTCATGTGTTTGCATTTGGTTTTGGTCAAATTTCCACTTTATCCAAATTTCTAAACACTGGAGCCCCGGATAACCTCCAAAGAGCCCCAACAGGAGAGAAAAGTGCCCTATGTTAGTAGCTTTCACCATTTTTCTACAAGAACTGCCAGCCAACTTTCCACCAAATGTTTGATATTACCTGCCCAGGCTAAATCTGAAGCAGATTAGCAGAAAAAAAAATCCCACCCAATGTGTATTTATGCAGCCCTCCAAGCTCTTAATGATCCATTCTTTATTCGCCTCCAGTCGGCAGAATCTGTTCTTTTCCAGGCAAACCTCAAACTGACAGACCATTCAAATAGTCCTGCGTTAAATCTGCTGTGGTTGTTTCAGGCAACAACTGATACATTTTTCACCAGAAAAGTCAGGCAGGAGAAGTCTATCTCGAGGCGTGCAGGGCCGTGTGATTGCTCTCGTCGCTGAGAGAGTCAGACGACGGGTAAAAGGAAAACAGCTGCGAGGTTGGAAGCGAGCGAAGAAGGCCCCGGGTTTGTTTTGACACGAAAGACTCTCCGTTTACCTTGAAGACGAACATCTCCCTCCTCAGTATTGCCACCGTGTTGAAGCCTCCGTCGCAGATGTTCGGTATGGCGTTGGGGTGGGACGGCCTGTCTCCAGGGGGCAGCCTCGGAGGTCGCGTCTGCCTGTCTGGTTTGCGGGGGTCCGAGGGAGGATGGGAGCGCGGTGGGGGCGCCGTGGGCAGAGGCTTGGTGGGCTGGGGGTTCCTGTCAGGGGGCCCTGGGGGAAGACGGAGAAAATAAATCTCACTTGTCGTCACACTTTTAATCTGCAGAATGTTGTTTTTACCACTTTTTCAACAAGCCGCGGTGGAGGGGAGTGAGGGGAAATTTACGTAATAAATCACACCTTAACAGATCATGAACGTGAAGTCAACATGTTCCCATGGCGCAGAGACATGATAAATATTTCATCTTTCAATGGTGCAAAAATCGAGACATTGTGGTAATTAAAAGTTGAATAATGTTTTATTTCACAATTTTAAAAGGTGGAAAAAATGTTATAATAATTGTTTCTAACAGGATTTCTGGTGGCACAATTAACGATACCTTAGACAAAATTTTTTTTAATAAATATCAATAAAAATTTTTTGAAAGGAATTCCAAACTTTTTTGGGTTCATCTCTGTACATAATATTTTCTCATTCATAATCCATGACTTCCTGTTTCCCTATAGGACACAAACATGACATGACACCGAGGTAAGTATATTTCTTCTGAGGCGTTTGATAAGCTTGCAAATACAAACAGCACAGAGAAATGATACGAATGATATGAAGATGTGTTGACATTTTTCTAGTCCAAATACAGGAGCAGATAGTTTAACCTGTTGAGGAAATAAAAGAAGTAAATAGGGTACAGAAATGAGTTGGACTGTAACAAGCACAACACAACGCACCCTGCTCCGCTCCCATCAGTCACTCATCCCAGATGATTTGCACTTGACTCACCCTGCACTTCAAACAAACGACAAGATGGAGCTGGAAGATGTTAAGCAAAAGCTAAAAACACCTAAATGATGGTCTAAAAACAAAATTATTAAAATTGTAATTGGCTCGGGGCTATAATTAAAGTTAATCTGTCGGGTCGGATCAAGCTCAGAGTAGGATTGGATTTTTTAGGCCCAATCTAAACTCTGTCGTACCACGCCACACAACGATCATGATGCTACCATTAAATGATATGAACATATCATTTAATTTTTTTTTTAAATCGTCAATACTTGGAATTTTTTCTTTAGTTTTTACATAGAACTATAAAGGGGCAACACAATGACAAGCTCAGTATTTTATAAAGTAATCCTTGCAGCTTTAACCAGTTTTATGACAGATGTCTGGAAGATGCAGAACATTCTATAAATGTAAGGTAATTATGAAGTTTGTTTCAGTCAGATGAGACACAAGATGGTTTCCATTCCAGTCCCAATAAGATCCAAAACCTAAAGCCAGCAGATCTAGTGTTCTAAACTTATTAGTTTGGGATTTATTTTCTCACTGAAAACATGTAGAAAAATAAAGGTTACATTGTTTTTCTGAGTGAGGTTATATCACTGCCAAAAACATGTAAAAAAATGCATGTCAGACACCATTACCAGGGCTCACCATTAAATGTAGCCAAAATTGGATGTGCCAATTAAAATCAGTTTCAAACTAGGCTTTCTTGAACTTTCCTCTTCTGGGAAGCAGTCTCTGTGATGGGTAGAGATGAAAAAAATATTACTTTTTCCTCGCTGGATGCCTGAACACGGCTGAGTGCCATTCAACATTGATGAGGTACATGAGAGAAGGAGTGTGACGTGTTCATGGGAAAAACAGAGAGAGGAGAAGGAGGCCGAAGGAGCGCAAACAAGTGGGTCGTGCGGATGAATAATTGAGCAAATGATGATGCGTGAATAACACACTCTGTAACTGTGAGGATATGAGTTGCCATGTGTTGATTGGGGTCACGTGGGGTGCCATGTGTTGATGCAGGGATAGACAACCGCGATATGAAAGATGCAAATGTGACAAACGACCCCGTCCTGAAAACGCCCCCAAAACGGTTTAAATGGTTGTTTTGGAAAAGAAAAGAACCGACTGAACGCACTTCTGACGCCAACAAAAGTTGGACTAGATAAATCGTGTGGGTCCTTCAACACAGAGCAATCGACCGAAAAACAAACAAAAAAAAAATGAGTGAAGCATTAATCTGGCTGGATTAAGATCCTGCCTAGTCGGCAAAACTCATCAGCTGACTCGCATGATACCGACTCTGTTCACCGACTGAGTCAAATCCCCTGAAACACATCCCTAGATTAGTGGAGCCAAAGTGCTGTGCATTCATGGAAGCGTGACATGTCGATAGACGCGTCGATAAAACTCGCAAATATGCACACACAACGACACGTTGGCGCAGAGCAGCGGCGACCGCGCCGATTCACGGATCACACACGGAAACAGAAGACAGGCGTCTGATCTGTGAACTCGGGTAGCCTACACACGGATTACACAGGCAATCTGTGAAATATGTTTGGATACGGCATATTTGCGAGGCTAAATAAACAAACGGAAAGACCTTAAAGTGCGATACAGAACGTTGCACTGGAAGCATAATGAACAATGAATGTAGTGTAGAAAAACTCACACTACTGATATTCAGACTTCAGATCCAAATGCATCCCAGCAGAAAATCAACACAATGTGGATTTTTCACTTTAAAAGGGTACGTATTTTAATCAGCTTCAATTTCAATCAGAAGGATACTTTATTTTTTACCTATTTTAAGTAGAAAAACAGATGATATATTGTATGAAGTGCAAAGTGTAATATTTGTGTGTATTTATGATCTATCCACTTTTATTTCTGTGCGATTTAAAACACCTCTACGCCTCTCTGTT